CTGCAGCAGCAGCGGGGGAGGGGGTGGGCGAGGGCCCGGGTGACCGCCGCATTTTAGCAGCAGTAAATTCGAGCCCGCTGCTGCTGCTGCTGCTGTTGTTGCTGTCGCTGCTGCTGCTGCTGCTGCTGCTGCTGCTGCTGCTGCAGGCCTGATTGGGAATTGGGGTGTACGTACACCGGGACGGCAGCTGCTGCAGGCGGCCAAACCCCGAGGCGTAAACCCTAAACCCCAAACCCTAAACCCTAAACCCTAAACGCTGCAACTCAATTCATTTAATGGAAAAGGAAAAATAAAAGGAATGGCGAAGACAGGAGGCCGAGACGCCTGCAGCAAAAAGGCAAGAAGCAAATTAAATGTCTTTTTAAAAACAAAAAAGAAAAAGAAAAAAGAAAAAACATTTCAAAGAAATAACAAACATCCCATCAGCCCAAACTCTTTATTTTATTTAACTTCCATTAAAGACGCAGCGGAGAGGAGGCAGCAAATAAAAAAGTCCGAATTAGCTGCTCTTGGCTTGTCTCCTGCTCCAAACGAGGAGACAAACGAAGCAGCGGTAGCAGCTGCAGCAGCAGCAGCAGCAGCTGCTGCTGCTGCTGCAGCGGCAGTTGAAGCAGCAGCAACAGCCGCAGCAGCAGCAACAGGTGCAGCAACAGCAACGGCAATGGCAACAGCAACGACAACAGCAACAGCAACAGCAAAAGCAGCGGCAGCAGCAGCAGCAGCAGCAAATGGGGCGTTTGCTTAGGAGCGCCCGCTGCTGAGCCGTGCAGCAGCAGCAGCAGCAGCAGCAGCAGCAGCAGCAGAAGCAGCAGCTCCCACCCCTGGGGTCACCTGCAGGTGACCCCAGGGGGCCTCTCATGGCTAAAGAAACAAAAGTGACACAAAAGAAAAAATAAAACAAAAAGTGAAAAGTATGAAAAGGGGGCCCCCAACTATTTGCTGCTTCTTGCTGCAGTTGGACAAGACAGTTCGGGACATTTGTGTCTCTGGGAGGCGGCGCCTTGAAGCGCTGATTTAGGGTTTGGGGTTTAGGGTTTAGGGTTTGGGGTTTAGGGGTTGGGGGTTGGGCCTTGGGGTTTGGGTTTTAGGGTTTAGGGTTTGGGGTTTGGGGTTTGGGGTTTGGGGGCGCCCGGAAAGAAGCACACCTGCGTTGTGCGTTCTACTTGAGTTTCTGCTGCTGCTGCTTTTGCTGCTCGGCAGGCTGAGGGAAGCTCTAAAGACTCCGAGCTCCGTTTGCTGCTGCTGCTGCTGCTGCTGCTGCTGCTGCTGCTGCGCGCTGAAGGCAGCAAACGACGGAGAGGCGGCGCTGCTACTTAAGGACTCCGATGGAATTGATGGCCGGGCGAAAACTCCTTCTGAAATAAGGCTACTAGAAATGCAAATGCTAAAGAAAAAGAAAGGAATAAAGTGACACACACGAGCTGCTGCTGCTGCTGCTGCTGCTGCTGCTGCTGCTGCTGCTGCCGCGCACCGCTGCGGTCCACCAGAGACCACCGGTCTTCATGCAGCCGTCTGCTGGGCTGCACAGGCCGCAAGGGAGGGAAAATAGAATCAAATAACGAAAATAAATAAATAATTTAATATTTTTAATTAAATAAAAACAAAATTTTTGCGTAAAAAGGCATTTTACCCCCCGATCTGCACTTCCCGCTGACCGCGCCCGACTGCAGACAAAACCCGAACGGGCTGACCAGCGGTCGCCAGGGCTCGGAGGCCTTCAAGTTGGCGAAAAAGTGTTTAAATATGAAAAAAATGAATTATTTCAACTATTTAAAACTCAAATTAGATTAAAATGAAGATAGAGGCCGGAAGTTGGAGTGGAACTTGAGCCGCGCGCTGGGGTGTACGTACACCCCACGCGTGCGCAGCCGCCTTCACTGGGCGCACCGCCGCAAACCCCGACTGAACACTTCTTTCACTTTTAAATATATTTAAACTTTTAAATATTCATTTTTTCAATAAATTCTCTCCATTTTGCTCCGCAGCTCTTCGCTGCGCCGCCCCAATCCCCCTGCAGCCTCACTGTGTCTCACGGGCAGCCCTCAAGGGGGATTTTATCGCCTCTACTACAGCTAGCCGCTGCTACTTAGCTAGCTAGCTGCAGCTACTTAGCTAGCTAGCTGCAGCTAGCCAGCTAAATAGCTGCAGCTAGCCAGCTAAATAGCTGCAGCTTGCTGCTCTTGGGGGCCATACTAAGCTCTTGCTGCCTCCGGACTTCACCAAAAAACTGTCTTTGGGAAAAACAGGCTCCTTTAAAAGTCTTTTCTCTTTTTTTTCTTTATTTCATTTCTTCGCTTGTCACTGCAGCAGAGAGGCGCAGCGGCACAGGCAGCTGGCAGCAGCAGCAGCAGCAGCAGCAGCAGCAAGTAGAGCTGCTGCTGCTGATTGGTCTTGGCGTTTTGCTGCAGCGCATGCAGTCACAGTGCCCAGCAGCGCAGCAAGCAGCAAAAGCAGCAAAAAAGGATTTAATTTGTGGCTGAAGACCACTGGTTAACCAGTGGACTCCCGAGACACTTGGCAGCTCGCGGTGTACGTACACCCGAGTGCTGTGCGCAGCAGCAAACTCGGGTGTACGTACACCTCAGACCAAAGGCGGTTTCATTCGCTTCAAAACTGCAGCAAAGCAGCAGCAAGAGAACAGCTGCAGCGGGAGATAAATGGGAATAAAAGAGTAGAATAAAAGAAATAATTAAATTAAATTAATGGAGTTTATTTTATTTTCAAGTTTGAAATGAACAAAAGCTGCGCAGACACCCCAAGGGCCTGGGGTGTCTGCGCAGCTTTCGCTGCTACCAACTTGAATCCAAAATGCCACTTTTTGGTCTTTTTAGTTCTTTTAAAGCTCTTTTTTTCCAGAATTTTAATTTATTCTTTTAAAAACAATAAATAAATTAATTATTTGCTTTTTAAAGATACTTTTGCGGCATTTGCTGCTGCAAATAATTCAAAATAAATTCAAAGAAAATTCCGCCCCTGGCGGTGGGGCCGGAGCGCAGCCCCGGGGGCTTTCTGGGCCAAATATTTACTTTAGTATTTAATTTTTATTTTTTAAATTAAATTTAATTTTATTTTTTATTTATTTTAATTGCAGCTGCCAAGCAGCAGCAGATTGATCCAGCTGCAGCGCAGCTCAGACAGCCCCCAAAGCTCTCCCCCCATCTGCAGCAGCTGCTGCAGCAGACCGTCAGTAGCTGCTGCAGCAACAAATGCAGCAGCTCCTGCAGCAGGGGTGCAGCAGCTCCTGCAGCAGCTCCTGCAGCATGGCTGCAACAGCGCTGCAGCAGGGTTGCAGCAGGTGCTGCAGCAGCTGCTGCAGCAGCTCCTGCAGCATGGCTGCAACAAGGCTGCAGCAGGGCTGCAGCAAGGCTGCAGCAGGGCTGCAGCAAGACTGCAGCAGCTGCTGCAGCAGCTGCTGCAGCAAGTCTGGGAGCTCTTGGGTATGAGGAAGTGGAAGCCTTTTGTGATTTGCAAAATCTCGAAAAGTCTTTTAGAGTTTATTGAGCAGCAGCTTCGTGTCAGCAGCAGCAGCAGCAATTTGAGAGTGTCTGCTGTTTGATTTTTAAATTTTAAAATACTTTTTAAAGCTTTAATGAATTAAAGCTTTAAAAAGTATTTTGAAGCCCCAGAAGCCGCAGCAAAGACAGCAGCAGCAAAAGCCCCCTGCTGCAGCTGCTGCAGCCAATTGCTGCTGCAAAAGCAGTGTTTTAGGGCTTGCTGCAGCAGCAGCAAGCAGCAGCAGCAGCAGCAGCAGCAGCAGCAGCTGTAAGCTTCTGGGGAGGGCTTAAAGTGCAAAAAGGCTCTTAAATCTGAGTGTTTTCGTGCTGCAGTGAAGCTCAATTTTATTCTTTTTAAAAATATTATATAAATGAAAAAGATTAAATTAAATGGCGTTTTAATTTAATTGAGTGAATTTTAACTTTATTTTGGTGCTGCACTGGACCTTGAGGGCTCAATTTGATCCTTTTGATCTCATTTGAGTCTCAATTTGATCCTTTGGACCTCATTTGAGTCTTTTTAATGATTAAATAAACTTCAAAACATTCAAATAAATATTAGAGTCTCAAGTTTGGTTTTTTTAGTCTTTTTTTGATTATTTTTGATGCCAAAATGACCCCAAAATGGCCTCAAGAGCTCCTGTTGGGCTGCTTTGTTTGGGCCAACAGCTCAATTAAATGAAAAAGATTAAATTAAATTAAAATTAAATTAAATTTAATTTAATTAAATTAAATTTGAGTTTTATTTGGATATAATTTAAGCCAATTAAAGTTCTATTTCGAGCATTTCAAGGACTGAATGAAGAGATATAGGCATTGCTTGTTAGAGGCTTGATAAAACAAATATTTAATATATCCAAATAATAATAAATAATTGATTGAAAACTTAATTAAATATTAAATATCAAATTATAAATTAATTGGATTCGAAAAGAAGTTGAAAGATAATTCATTTATTGTTGAATAGTGACAGTGTCTTGTGGAATTCAAAAATTTGCAAAGTGTGTTCCGAGTTCAGATTTGCTTCTTTGAGCGATTCTTTTCGACAAATTAATTAAATATAAATAAAGATGATTAAATATAATTAAATATAATTAAATATAATTAAATATAATTCAATTGTGCAGATTATTCATTCTTCCAGCTGCAGCAAATGCAATAATCACCAACCACGCGTTTCAGGTTTCTGCAGGCACCAGCCCGAGTATTTCCTGCATTTTTTTGCAAATGCGGCGGAATTGGGGGTTTCAAAAAGCCCAAATGACTTAAAAAAGATGTTTAATTTAAATTAAATAAATTAAATTGAATAAATGAAGGAGAAGTGGCGAGAAACTTGAAATCTGAATTCAGGTTCTGGCGATAGTCGCTGCTGCTGGGGCTGGTCGCTGCGCGAGTGTTACCACTCTGCAGCAGAAGGCCGCAGGGGCTTTGCTTCTTTCTGGCTCTTTTCCGAACGAAAGAAAAGAATTTTCTCTTTTTAATCGAACGCTATTTGCTTCAAAAAAGGCTATTTCGCGCAGCAGCAGCAGCAGCAGCAGCAGCAGCAGCAGTTTCCGCGGCGGGGGGTGGTGGTGCTGCGCACGCGAGCTGTAGTGACACCCCGAAATTTGGCGCTTCTTTCCCGCTTTTTTCGACATTATGGGTGAGTTAAATGTTTTAATTAGCTTTTTGTTTGAGAAGGTTTTGAAATTCGCGCGGAAAGCTGCAAAGTGCGGGCCTGAGGCAGCAGCAGCAGAGCCGCCGGATCTTCTCGCCGCCGCAGCAGCTCGCGAACAACGCCCGATCTTGCTTGTTTTTCTGCATTTTCTTTTTAATTTTTGTTTATTTTTGTTTATTTTTGTTTATTTTCAACATTTCTTCTTTGCAGATTGCGGAGATAATCCTTTTTATAAGAACCGGCCCTCCACTCGCGTCCACGCGGCGCCTGGGGGGAACTCTTCGATATGTTTCGGCGATGACAGTGCGTCTGCTGCGCCCTTTGCAACTAAACCATTTCCAACGCAATTAAAACCATTTCTTTTCTTTTTTCTTTTTTAAAGAAAAAAGAAAAGAAATGGTTTTAAAGAAGTTTCTCCTTTCTGCCCTTTGCTGCCTTTTGCTCTGCAGCACCGCAGCCAGCTGCGCCCCCAGCCCCTTACGCCGCAGCAGCAGCAGCTGGGGGCCCCCCGGGGGCCCCCCAGCGCCTGCAGCAGCAGCAGCAGCAGCAGCAGCAGCAGCAGCAGCAGCAGCAGCAAACGGGTTTTGGGCAGCCCGAGGCGGGCCGGACTTCTGTGAAGGTTCACCAGCCCCCCGGGGGCCACTCCAGCAGTGAGTTATGAAGTTTGTCTTTTAAATTTTAAATTTAAAATTCTTTTTTTTAATTTTTTTAATTTAAAATTTGAAATTAAAAATTTGTTTTGCATGTACAGTGCCGCCTCCAGGTGTACGTACACCGCGCTGCAGCCAGGCTGCTGCAGCAGCAGCAAGCAACAGCAGCAGATCTTTTCTTCAAATGAATTATTCTCCGCAAATAAATATAAACTTTAATTTACTTTTATTCAAATTCAATTTGCTGCTGCTGCTGCTGCTGCTGCTGCTGCAGTTCAATTCGGCTAATGGAATACAGACGGCGGCCCGCAGCAGCAGCAGCGCAGCAGCAGCTGGATCGGAGAAAAGAGCAGCAACTACTCATTCAAACAGGGAAATAAAATAAATTAAATTAAAATAAAATAAAATAATTAAAATAAATTAAAATAAAATAAATTAATTAAATTAAATTAAATGAGCCTCGCTAAAAGGGGCCAGGGCTGCAGCCACGGGGTGTACCGACAGCTGCTGCGCCTCCCGCCCCACACCAACTTGTCTTTTCACTTTTCCATTTTTTCTTTTTCGCCTTTTTCGTGGCCTAGCAGCAGCAGCAGCAGCAGCAGCAGCAGCAGCAGCAGCAGCAGCAGAGGCAAAGGCAGGCACAAGCAGCCACTAGAGGCCTGTTGATAGCAAATGTATAGTACACAGAAGCTGCTGCTGCAGCTTCTGCTGCTGCTGCAGCTGCTGCTGCTGCAGCTTCTGCTGCTGCAGCTCCTGACGCAGCAGAAGCCACTGCAGCTTCTCCTGCCGCTGCGGTTTTGCTGCTGCTGCAGCTTCTTCTGTTGCCCAAGCCGCTGCTGCTGCAGCAAAAGCTGCTGCAGCAAAGGCTGCAGCAGCAGCAGCTGCTGCTGCTATCCCGTTATCAATACTTGGGGGCCGTCCGCTGCGCCCAGTTGCTGCAAAAGCAAAAAGGAAGAGAGAACTTGGGGTGTACGTACACCCGGAAGACAGCAGCAGCAGGCCTCGGCGGGCTAGGGTTTAGGGTTTAGGGTTTAGGGTTTAGGGTTTGGGCGGTGTGGGAAGTGCTCACTCATAAAAGGGGTCGTAAATAAATGCATTTCTCCCCATGAACATGAAATCCACCAGCAGCAAAGACCCCACAACGACGCACCAAAATATCCTGCAGCAGCAGCAGCAGCAACAGCAGCAGCAGCAGCAGCAACAGCAGCAGCAGCAGCAGCAGCAGCGGGGGCGTTTTCGGGAGGGGGAGGGTGGAAGCAGCTGCAGCAAGTCGGGCTTTCGGGGTTTGAAGAGCAGCAGAGTTTGAACTTGAAGTTAAAAAGAAATTAAAATAAAATAAAATAAATTAAATTAAAATAAAATTAAATAAATAAAATTAAATTAAAATAAATAAATAAAAGTAATTAAAGACTCACCACATGTAAAGATACTCTTGGAGGGCGCAGAAGGTAAATAAGACGGAGACCAAAAGCAGCACAGTTAGAAAGCCTGCACAGAGACAAAGAAAAAAAAATTAAATAAATAAATAAATAAACAATTAATTAAATAAATAATTAAATAATTAAATAGTTAATTAAATAATTAAACAATTAATTAAATAATTAAACAGTTAATTAAATAATTAATTAATTAATTAGTTGAAAGTGAAGTGAACAGATGCAGCTCTGTCAGCTGCTGTACAGACACCTGAAACGAGGAGAATGGGAGAGTGGAAGAAAAGGAAAAAAACGAAATTAAAATAAATAAAATGAATTAAATGAATAAAATGAATTAAATAAATAAAATGAATTGAATAATAAAACAAAATAAACAAAATAAATAAAATAAAAAGAAATGAAATGAACTTGTGCCCCATTAAACTCAAAAAGCAAAACGAAGAAATGTTTTTAAAAAAGGACTTTTTGAAAACCATTTTTTCTTTTTCGATTTAAATCTTTTTAAAACATCTTTGAAAGTAAAAGAGATAAAAGAGATAAAAAGAAATGCAAAAAAAGATTCAAAAAAGGCGAAAATTTCCGAAGTTGGAAAAAGAAAAAAAGAAACAAAAAACTGAAACTGCTGCAGCAAACCGAAGCTCTGCCGCGCCGCCGCGTGATGAGAAATGGAAAAGAAGAAAAAAGAAAAAGAAAAAAGAAAAAGAAAAGAAGAAAAAAGAAAAAAGAAAGAAAAGAAAATGGAAATGGGAAAGCAGCTGGAGTGGCTTGAAGGGGGAAAGCGGGAGAAAAGCGGAGGAAAAGGAACTAAAAAAAAGAAAAGAAAAGAAAATATATTAAAAGACTTCTCACCTCTTATGCAGGCTCGCTCCATCCCTACAACAAAACAAAAAGAATAAAAGTGATGAAAGCTTTTCGGCGAACGCGCAAGTGTGCTGCTGCGCGGGGTGTACGTACACCGCGCGGCCCCGCGGCGGCTCTGCGGAAAGGCGAAAGAAAGGCCTTTTTCAGAAGAGTAAATTCATTTAAATTAAATTTCTTTTTTGAATTGCGAGAAGATGAAACAAAAACTGAAGACTGGCGGCTGCGGACGGCGGCTTTTGGGAGCCAGCGGTTTCCCGCGGCGCTGCGCGCTTATTGGAGTGTCACTGCAACTTTTTGTTTCGAAAAAAAAACCTTTTTCTTTTTTTCTTCTTTTATTTTCATTTATTTTCATTTATTTGCAACTTCAACTTCAATTAACTGCAAAAGGCTCAGCCAGTCCACCCGGCAGCCCCCGAGCCACCGCGGATGCTCTCGAGCTGCATGCGCCGCTGTCAACGAATCCGCCTTTATTTTTACTTTTATTCTGTTTTTTGACCATCTAAATGCATTTATTTTTGTTTATTTTTGTTTATTTTTGTTTATTTTTGTTTTTTTAATCCTTTAATTCCTAAAAATCCGAATTTTGGTGCCGCTTTCCCACCCCCTTGTCGTGCGCTCTACAGACCAGCAGCATGCATCTGCAAACGGCGAATTTAAACTCAAAAAAGAAAAAGATTTAAATTAAATAGAGATATAAATATAAAACTTTGAATTTTTTGTTTAAATATTCGCCTTTTATGCCATTCTTGCTGCAAAGATTGATGTCTGCAACTTGAATATTCATAAAAGCGTTTTATATCTGCACAAAAATAACTCCAAATATAAAACAAATTAAAACAAATTAAAGCCCATCTTCATCGCAGCAATTCGAGTGTACAGACACCTCCAGGATGTGCAGCTTCAAACTGGTGTTTATCAGCTCTAGGGCTTAGGGTTTAGGGTTTAGGGTTTGAAGCTCGCAGTGGCAAACATAAAACCCTAAACCCTAAACCCTAAACCCTAAACCGCTGCAGTGGAAGGACAGGCAGGCCTCAGGATGAGCAGCAAAGAGAAAAGAATAAATTAAAAAAAAGATAAAACGAAGAAGAAATAAAAAATAAAAAATAACTTTCGAGAAGAATGCAGAAGCAAAGAGTGCTTTTGTTTCATTTAATTTATTTCCTATTTTTGTTAAATGATTTCCTCTGTTATTTTCGTCAGCTGCACACTGCTGCACTAAACCCTAAACCCTAAACCCTAATACACGATATTTCTGCTGCAGCAGCAGCAGCAGCAGCAGCAGCAGCAGCAGCAGCAGCAACCGGTATGGGAGCGTTTTGGAATTTAGGCATTTTAACTCCAAGGCATAAATAAAACGCATTTGATACTATTTTGAAATGTAATTTAACTAAATTTGTTTTATTTTCATTTTATTTTAATTAATTTAATTAATTTATTTAATTCAGTTATTTTAATTAAATTAATTTATTTAATTTAATTATTTTAACTAAATTAATTCAACACACTTCAATCGGCTAGCAACTGGTGCTCTCGAGCAGCAAAACTCAAAATCTTGTTTTTGAAACGCCCCAAACCCTAAACCCTAAACCCTAAACCCCAAACCCTAAACCCTAAACCCTGAAACGCAAACCCTTGAATGTACATGGACTCGTGAATTGAAAGGAGTTAAGAGAAAGCACACACGGAAGCAAAAGGCGCAGCACGCGAAACCCTAAACCCTAGGGGACTAAACCCTAAACCCTAGAGGCTAAGCCGTAAACCCTAAACCCTAGGGAGTAGGCGCCGCGAGCTTGGCGGCGAAAACCCTAAACCCTCGAGGCCCTGGGCCTCCAAGGCTAAACCCTAAACCCTAGAAGGTAAACCCTAAACCCTGGAAGCCAAACCCTAAACCCTGAAAGATAAGGGTTTGGGCCTGGAGCGCAAAAGGGGGTTTGGCTGGCTCGGAATTTCGGGTGTCTGTACACCGCAGGTGGGCGGAGTGTCGCGGAAATGCACTTTTAGCATTTTTGCGGCTCCCCGAGTTCCTTTTTGCGGAAAAAAAAGCTGCAGGGGTTTAAAAGTGTTTTATTTAGAAAATAAACCCCTTTTTAGGGTTTAAAAGAGCCAATTTGCTGCGGGAAGTGCCCTGGGCGCGGCGAGGGCTGCCGCGGCTGCGTGGGTCAGGTGTCTGTACACCCCGGCGGCGCTCTCGCCGCCGTTTTCCGCAAACCGACTTTTAAATGAATAATTCTTTTGAAAAGAAGAGAAGTTTGAAGAAGAAAAGCAAAAGTGAGTTTGCTGCTGCTGCTGCTGCTGCTGCTGCTGCTGCAGTGGGCCAAAGAAACCAATGGGCGTGGTGATTGGCTCAACGGCTGGTCGCCGGGGGCTGCTGCTGCTGCTGCTGCTGCCTTTTCGCCCGCATTTTCGGAAACTGAGGCTTTCTTTGGGTTTTAAATTCAAAAATAAATAAAATAATATCAATTGGGGTTTAATTGCATGCAAAGAGCCCCCCCGAAGGAGAAACTGGCGCTGAGAGGCTCTCGCCGCGACTGCAGCAGCAGAGGAATCAGCGCGGCCGCTGCTGCTGCGCTGCTGCTGCTCGTTTTTTGGATCTTTTTGACAAATTAAAAACAAAACCCGAATATTTGCTGCTGCTCTCGCTGCTGCTGCTGCTGCTGCTGCTGCTGCTGCTGCTGCGCCTTTCCCGCCAGACCATCGCAGCTGGGGTGTATGGACACCTCAGCCCGCAGTTTCTGCTGCTTCGCCTCCACCCTTCGCCACTTCTTTTGCTGCCTTTAAATCTTTGCTGCTGCTGCTCCCTGCAGCAGCAAGTCTCGCAGCAAACGGGCCGAGGCTGCGGCTTTTGCTGCTGTGCTGCGCAGAGCCGCGGGGCCTCGCCGCAGCAGCAGCGCTGCAGCAGCAGCAGACACACCGCAGCAGCAGCAGCAGCAGCAGCAGCAGCAGATCGCTGGGCCTCTCCAGCCGCGCGGGGGCGCCTTGAGAGAAACAGAAGGCAAAGTTGAGCCACAAGAGCTGCAGCTCGCCAGCCCTACACACAGCAGCACGCAGCAGCAGCAGCAGCAGCAGCAGCAGCAGCAGCAGCAGCAAAGATGGGCGCAGTCAGTTCCTGCTGCGCTGTGGAGGACGCGGACGACCGGCAGGTGATGAAGGAGCCGCAGCCAGCAGCAGCAGCAGCAGCAGCAGCAGCAGCAGCAGCAGCAAAAGACAAGACGCACAGCGCGAAGCCCCGCAAAGAAAGCAGCAGCAAAGAACAAAGTGAACAAAAAAGCAAAGACAAAGACAAAGACAAAGAAGCAGCAAAAGAAGAAAAAAAACCCAAGAAGCAGCAGCAGCAGGAGCAGCCAGGTGGGAGTTGCATTTAAATATTTAATTTCAAATGAAAGGCCACGCTGCTGCTGCCCGGCGCTGGGGTGTACGTACACCCCGTGCTGCTGCATGCGCAGCAGCAGCAGCTTCGAACAGCAAACAAACGAAGGCTTTGAAGTGTTTATTGTTCATTTATTTATTTAAATCTTTTTTGTTTTATTTTATTTTCTTTTTTGTTTTATTCTTTTCTTTTTTTCGCTTCTTGAGCATGCAGTCCTGAGGTGTACGTACACCCGGCTGTACGTACACCCGAGTCCGTTAAAAGGAAAATAAATTCATTTCTTTAATTTCCATTTTATTTTTTATTTTCAAATAAATTCATATTTGTTCACTTCTTTAATTCTCATTTTATTTTTTATTTTCAAATAAATGCATATTTGAATTTGCACTTTGTAGCTTTTTTGTTGCCAAACAAAATGCATGTTCCAAATGCAGCTACACGCAGCAGCAGCAGCAGCAGTGATGCAGCAGCAGCAGCAGCAGCAGCAGTGATGCAGCAGCAGCAGCAGCAGCAGCAGCAGCAGCAGTGTTGGAGCAGCAGCAGCAGCAGCAGCAGCAGTGTTGGAGCAGCAGCAGCAGCAGCAGCAGCAGCAGAGGCGAAGCAGATCTTAACTGGCCGAGGGGCCAGAAGTCTGGGATTTGATGAATTGTTTAAATTGATTTCTTTCTTTTTAATTTGTTTTTCAATTAATTTGTTTTTCAATTAATTTGTTTTTTCAAATAATTTTTTTTCAAGTTCTTTATTTTTTCAATTTCTTTTTTTCAATTTATTTCTTTTCTGTTTCTTTCTTTTCGACTAATTTCTTTTCAACTAATTTTCTTCAATTAAATATTTCCAATTGATTTATTTCACATAATTTGGCATTCATTTGAACCAATTAAAGTAATTAATTAATTAATTAATTAATTAGTATTAATTAATTAATTAGTATTAATTAATTAATTAATTAATTAATTAATTAATTAATTAATAAACAAAATTAATCAAACAAATTAACTAATTAATTAATTAATTAAACTAATTAATTAATTAACTATTTATTTATTTATTTATTTATTTATTTATTTATTTATTTATTATTTATTTCAACTTTGCTGCTGCAGCAGTGGCTGTGAACCAGCCAGAAGTAGAAGACCTGCGGAAGCGGCTGCAGGGCGGAATGGCAATAATAGTTTTGCTGCAAGACGGGACCAAACTTGCCTGCACTTTGCACTTAAACCCTTCCGACAAGTCCCTCAGCATTTCCTGCGAAGACAAAGTACCGAGGGTTTAGGGTTTAGGGTTTAGGGTTTAGGGTTTGGGGTGGGGGGTTGCAGGCGCGCGGATTGGGGTTTAGGGTTTGCGGGGGCGAGGGTTTGGGGTTTGGGGTTCAAAGGGGCGGGGGTTTAGGGTTTGGGGTTTACGGGGGCTGGCGCGTAGGGTCTAGGCTCCACACGGGAAAGGGTTTAGGGTTTAGGGTTTAGGGTTTAGGGTTCCGACGGACTTGGGAATCGCGCGGTTTCCCCTCCGAGGGCGTGACGCAGGGCCCGCAGTGGAGGGCTTGGGGTTTAGGGTTTAGGGTTTAAAAGCCCGTAGTGGAGGGTTTAGGGTTTAGGGTTTAGGGTTTAGGGTTTAGGGTTTAGGGTTTGGGGGTGCGCAGGTGCGGGTGATCCCGCTGAGCGACGTGAAGTCGCTGCTGCACACGCGGGATCAGCTGAAGCGGGTGGAGACGAAGGCGAATCTGGTGGACGACGAGAACTGCGTGGCTTTGCACTTGATAGAATCTGGAAACTGCATTCCAATTCGTTTTGAAGCAGTAAAAGACAAACATGTCTTCGTCGAAATGATGAAACAACTCAAAGAAGAAGCCGAAAAAAACAAAAACTGAACTTCCACTTGCACGGAAAGCGGCGCGCCGCCGCGCGGGGTGTACGTACACCCCACGCGCGTGCAACTTCGCGCCTTCTCCCAACACGAAAGCGACCCAACCGACGCCCAAAACGCCCTTTTTCAAGAAATTCGAACGCCAAAATGTAAATTCCAACATTATATTTCATTATATTTGCAAAAAGAGGAAAAAAAACGAGCAAAAATGCCGGCGCCGCGGCTTCGTGGCTTGCTTTCCGCTGCTTCGGCCCTGCCTGGCGGCCACTGCAGGATTTGTTTTCTCGCAAAGTTCAGATTATTTAATTATTTAATTATTTATTATTTATTATTTATTATTTCCTCCTTTGGACTGCAAGCGACTGTACACGCAGACTCTGCTGCAGCAGCGCGAACTCAGCTTTTGCATTATTTTTGAGTTGCACAAAAATCTGTCAACACCCCCCACTGCAACAAACCCCGCTGCAGCACTTCAACTGCAGCAGCAGCAGCAGCAGCAGCAGCAGCGAGCCTTTTGCTGCAGCTGCTGCTTTCCTTCAACACTATCTGCTGCGCTAGTCCAGCAGCTCGGAAGAAGACCGTGTGAGCTGCAGCAGCAGCAAAACCTTCTGCTGCAGCAGCTGCTCTGACACTTGCTGCTGCTCTAGTTCTGCAGTTCAAAAGAGAACTATTTGAGCTGCAGCAGCAGCAAAACCTTCTGCTGCAGCTGCTGCTTTTCTTCAACACTTTCTGCTGCTTTAGTTCAGGAGCTCAAAGGAAAAACAATTTGAACTGCAGCAGCAGCAAAACCTTTTGCTGCTGCTGCTAACGCTTTCTGCTGCTCTAGTGCAGCAGCACAAAGGAAAACAATATGAACTGCAGCAGCAGCAAAGCCTTCTGCTGCAGCTGCTGCTTCCCTTTAACGCCTTCTGCTGCTCTACTGCAGCAGCTCAAAAGAAAAATAATTTGAACTGCAGCAGCAGAAGGCTTTGCTGCTGCTGCTGCTTCTCTTTGAAATCTTTCTGCTGCTCTAGTGCAGCAGCTCAAGACAATTTGAACTGCAGCAGCAGCAGCAGCAGCAGCAGCAGCAGCAGCAGAACTTTTTGCTGCTGGCTGCGGCCACGCTGGGCTTAATTCAGTTTCTTCTAATTGCATTTAGTTTTATTTTCAGTTGCATTTATTTCGATTTTAATTTAATTTGATTTCACTTTTAATTGCATTTTATTTCATTTTCAACTTCGTTTAATTTCATTTCCAGCTGCATGCACTTCAATTCCAGTTGCAATTAACTTCAATTCAAGTTGCATTTAATTTCCTTTTAAATTGCAATTTATTTCTTTTTAAATTGCAGTTTATTTCTTTTTAAGTTGCAATTTATTTCTTTTTAAATTGCAATTTATTTCTTTCTAAAATGCAATTTATTTCCTTTTAAACTGCAATTATTTCAACTCCATTTGCATCCAATTTCGATTATAATTCTATTCAATTCCAAGTGCAATCAATTCCATTTCTAATTGCAATTAATTCCAATTCTAATTTCAATTAATTTCATTTCTAATTTCAATTAATTTCATTTTTAATTGCAATTAATTTCAACTCTAACTGCAATTAATTCCACTTCTAATTCAATTAATTTCAACTCTAATTCTATTTGATTCGAATTGCATTAAATTGAATTCTATTTGCAATTAATTTCATTTCAAACTTGAGTTATTTTCGCGTTTAATTGCAGCAAAAGAATTGCAATTAATTCAACTTCCGTTTCTTGAATTCAACTTTTGAATTCAACTTCGTTTCTGAACAAACTTGGCTTTTTTAAATTGCAATTATTTCCATTTTGCGTTTCAATTAAATCCATTTGGAGTTATTTTTCGAAATTAAAACTTTAATTCTTTTTAATTCCGTTTTCTCTTCTTTCAACTCCAGTGGAATCTTCCCAAGTCCACTCTGCTGGCACTAATTTCGAGTTGTTTTCAATTAAATTAATTTCTTTTCTTTTTCTTTTTTGAAATTAAATTAAATTCTGTTTTTTACTTCCAATTGTTTCGCAACTGGCTGCATTCCGAAAGCTGTTTGAACTCAAGTGGAACTATTTCTTCGGCGAAGTGGATTCTGAATCTTTTTTTGCGAAACTAATTCGAACTTTTTTTAAATTTAATTATTTCTTCTTTTCAATTCTAATTTTATTTTATTATTTTATTTTATTTCTCTTCTTTTGCACTTCACTGCATTTCCAAATTCCCTCAGAGTCCGTCAAGTTCAAACTTTGTCTTGGGCTTTTGCCCAAGCCGAACCCGGGGCGGCGGGAACTCGAACTGGCCCACAACAAGCCATTTATTCATTTATTTATTTATTTTATTTATTTATTTATTTATTTTATTTATTTTATTTATTTATTTCGCATTTACTTGCCATTTACTTCCAACTCAAAGCCAAGGAACTGTACACTGGAGCAGCGCCGCACACATAACTCATTTCCGGCGCGCTCCGCTTTGGAAACCTGCAAAGGACTTTATTTGCTTTTGCTGCACTAAAAGAAAAGAAGAAGAGCAGCAGCAGCAGCAGCAGCAGCAGCAGCAGCAAAAGGAAACAGAAAAGAAGCGGCTGGACGGGGAGGAAGCAGCAGCAAGCCGCAGCAGCAGCCGCAGCCGCAGCCGCAGCAGCAGCAGCAGCCGCAGCAGCAGCGGCGAGCGCCGCGGGGAGCCAGAGGGAGAAGCGGGAGAAGCAGCAGCAGCAGCAGCAGCAGCAGCAGCAGCAAGAAGCTGCCAAGCCGCCAGATCAAACAAGAGCTTCAAGACTCTCAGCAGCAGCAGCAGAAACAGCATTTGCTGCAGCAGGAGGGGCCCTTAAGACGAGGCCCCTTCTTCCTCTGCTGCCTTTTGCTGCTGCGGGGGGCCCCACACCCACGGCGACGGCCCCGCCCGGCTGTTTTGCTGCTGCTGCTGCTGCTGCTGCTGCATCTGCTGCTGCGTCTGCTGCAGCGAGAGCAGCAAGCGTCATGTGCACGAGCTGCGGCTCGTCCTCCTTGGGCGCTGCTGCTGCTGCTGCTGGTGCTGCTGATGCTGCTGCAGGTGCTGCTGCTGCTGCTGCAGGTGCTGCTGCTGCTGCTGCAGGTGCTGCTGCTGCTGCGGCGCGCCTGGAAGCAGCAGCAGACGGACTGCCTGCTTCTGAAATGGGGGAAACAGCAGGAGAAAAGGAGTAAGGAAGTGCTGCTGTTCGAGCAGCAGCAGCAGCAGCAGCAGCAGCAGCAGGAGTGGACAGGCCTGCGGGCGTGTTGGTTGCTGCTGGGGTGTCTGTACAGCTGGTAATAGTTGTAGCAGCAGCAGCAGGAGCGAAGGGGCCTTTGGGCCTCTCGGGGGCGCACAAGTTGGCAGCAGCTTCTGCTGCAGCAGCAGAAGCAGCAGCGCTCCTTGCTGCTGCTGCTGCTGCTGCTGGGGCTGCGGGGCGGGCGGCTTCCCCCTGCAGAGCAGCAGCAGGAGGCGGGGGAGCGCGGCTGCTGCTGCTGCTGCTGCGCTGCTGCTGCTGCTGCTGCTGCTGGGGGGAGGGGACGAGGGGGTCGGAGTCTGCGGGCGCTGCTGCTGCAGCAGCAGCAGCAGCAGCAGCAGGGTGTGCTGCAGCAAGCTCGCAGCAGCTGCAGGCAGGGGGGCCCCCCGGGGGCCCCTCAGAGGCGTCGGAAAGGGGCAAAGTGGAAGCCTTGGGGAAGAGCTCTTTGCCCGTAAGGGCGCGGAAGCAGCAGCAAAAGGGGCAGCAGCAGCAGCGCAGCAGCAAAGGCCCCAAACATGTCGTGGACAAGACTGCCGTGAGAGTGACTAGAAAAGTCATGCCCAGAACAATCCAAACTACGGAAGCAACCTCCATTTTGAGGTAGCAGCAGCTGCTGCTGCTGCTGCTGCTGCTGCTGCTGCTGCGGCGCTGCAGCGAGCTGCTGCTGCAGCACAACTGGCGGGGCTTTTTCGGATTTTCTTCGATAACAATGAATTAAAATGTCTTTTTGTTCAAAATAAACTCAAAAAAGGCGAAAACTCTGCGCAAAATGCCCCATCTCGCGCCGGGGCCCGCGACTCGACAGTGCCTAGTGTATGTGGAGGCTCAACTAGCCGTGCGCTGCGCGCAGCAGCAGCAGCGGCAGCAGCGACGGCCTGCGTCTTAAATTCTTTTTTATTTTTAATTTATTATTTCTTTTTAATTTAATTTGCAAGAAAAGCGGCCAAGAGCTGCGCAGCGAGCGCGCTAAAGGCCGTTTCCGCGTTGCCTGTCGAACTGCGGGCGGGCGCATGCTGGCGAGCAGCGGCGGGAGGGCCGAAGAGCTGTTAAAAACGTTTCTTTTGGATTTTTTCTCCGCAATTAAATTGCAAAACGCAATTTGCGAATTATTTCGGTGGTTTATTGCATGCGATCTCGGCGGATCTCGCGGGATCGCAGGCGGAAGCCCCGGCTGTGGGGGCTCTCCTGCGGGGCCACAGCCCCGAAGTTGAACTGCTGCGCTGCGCGCAGCAATTCAAGTCCAGCAGCAAATTAAATTGCAGAAAAGTCTTTTATTTATATTAGGGTTTTCCGAGCGGCGGAGAGGATTTCGAAAATGTCGCTGCGAGCCACGAACATGGCGGACTTCCAGCACATCCTGCGGGTGCTGAACACCAACGTGGACGGCCGGGAAAAGGTAGTAATCGCTCTCACTGCAATTCGAGGAATTGGAAGAAGAATCAGCACTTTAATTTGCAAAAAAGCCGACATCGACACCGACAAAAGGGCCGGCGAACTCACGGCGGACGAGATCAGCAAGGTGCGCTGCGCTGGGGTGTACGTACACCGCGCCGCCGCAGCTTTCCGCGCTGCCCCCACCACTTCTCGCACTTCTTTTCTTCTTCCACTTCTTCCCCGCTTTCTTCGCCGCTCCCGACTTTAAATGCCTTTTCCTGCTGCTGCTGCTGCTGCTGCTGCTGCTGCTGCTGCTGCTGCTGCTGCTGCTGATCTGCTGCCAGCAGCAGTTCCTTTCCGCTTTCCTCTTTTGAACTTTCCACTTCTCCGACTTTTCTCTTTCTTGCTGCGCGGAAGCAGCAGCTGCTGCCACCCTCTTCTCCAGACTTTTATTTCTTTTTTTTATTTCTTTTTCCATTTTTCATTTAATTTCCTGTTTTCCATTACTTCTCTTCCCTGTGCCCGTTTCACTTCATTTCACCTCCCGCTGCCGCTGCTGCCGCCGCTGCCGCCGCTGCTGCTGCTGCTGCTGCTGCTGCTGCTGCTGCTGCTGCAGATCGTGGCGATCGTGGCGAGTCCGACTCAGTTCAGCATTCCGTTTTGGTTTTTGAATCGGCAAAAAGACGTCAAAGACGGAAAGTCCCGCCACGTCTCCGCCAACAACTTGGACTCCGTCTGGCGCGAAGACTTCGAAAGACTGAAGAAGATGCGGCTCCACAGGGGCCTGCGTCACTACTGGGGCCTGAAGGTCCGCGGGCAGCACACGAAGACAACTGGCAGACACGGGAGGACTGTTGGAGTCGCCAAGAAGAAGGCTTGAGCTGCTGCTGCTGCTGCTCCTGCTGCTGCTGCTGCTGCTGCAGCAGCAGCGAGAACTGCGGTTCGGGGGCTGGTTTTTGCAGAGATAGGCGAGACAGAGGCGTCGAGCCACTGCTGCTGCTGCTGCAGCAGCAGCAGCAGCAGCAGCAGCAGCAGCAGGAGTGGTAGTAGTGGGGGGGCAGGGTAGTGGAAGTAGAAAAGAAAGGAGTTGGAAAAGAATTAAAAAGAAAAAGTTTTAAAACTCCAAAAAATGTTTTCGAACTTCCACAGCAGCACTCCTGCTGCTGCTGCTGCTGCTGCTGCTGCTGCTGCTGAGGTGTACAGACACCTCACGGCTTCCGCTGCACGCAAACTCCGAAAGACTCTCGCGGAATTAATTCAAATTTACTCACTTCTCAATTTGAATTTAATTCCATTTGTTTTATCTAATTGCATTTAATTGCATTTATGATTATTTAATTGCATTTATAATTATTTAATTGCATTTATTTAATTGTATTTATTTAATTGCATTTATTTTATTTAATTCCATTTATAATTATTTAATTGCATTTATTTTATTTAATTGCATTTATTTTATTTATTTAATTGCAAATAAAAACGCAAATTTAATTGCAAGTTTAATTCCCTGCATGCAGAAACCACTTTTAATTTATTTAATTTAATTCATTTAAATGTTCCATTAAGTGTTTTATTTCGCACTTTAAACTTTTATTTGTTTTTGAATTTATTTATTATTTATTTATCTATTTATTTATTATTTATTTATTTATTATTTATTTATTTATTTATTATTTATTTATTTATTTATTTATTATTTATTTATTTATTTATTTATTTTTGAATTTCAAAATTGGGATTTACTTCGAGGGCGGAAGACTGGCTGTGGGTCGCTGCTGCAGCTGAGGTGTACGTACACCGCAAGGACACAGCACAAAGGGGGAAATGAAAGCAGCAGCAAAAAAGCTTTTTTAAATTAATTTTAAAGTGTTTGTGTCTGCTGCTGCTCGTTTTGTGTCTCACTGCTGCTGCTGCTGCTGCTGCTGCGCAAATGTCGAGAGTTTGCTGCAGCAGTCGGGCTTGGAGGCGGTGCTGCTGCTGCTTCTTTTGCTGCAGAGTCTGCTGCTGCAGTGTCTGCTGCTGCAGCGTCTGCTGCTGCTGCTTCTGTTGCTCCAGCTTCAGCTGCTGCAGCGTCTGCTGCTGCAGCGTCTGCTGCTGCAGTAGCTGCTGCGGTCACACTGCGCTGCTGCTGCTGCAGCAGCACTTGCTGTTCGTGGAGGCGCTGCTGCTGCAGCTGTTGCTGTTCCTGGAGGCGCTGCTGCTGCAGCTGTTGCTGCTGCTGCTGCCGCTGCAGCTGTTTTTGCATCTCCTGCAGCTGTTTCTGCCGCTGCATGAACTGCTGCTGGTCACTCACTTCCTGCTGCTGCTGCTGCTGCTGTTGCTGCTGCTGCTGCTGCTGCTGCTGCTCCAAGGCGAGCCGCTGCTCTTCTCTTTCCGCCCGCATTACCTCCCCCGGGAACTGTACGTACACCGCAGACACTCCGCGAAGCAAACAAAGTCATAATATTTATTTCATTTAATTATTTAATTAATTTAATTTATTTAATTATTTAATTAATTTAATTTATTTAATTGTTTTATTTATTTAATTTTTATTTTAATTCTTGTTTTGCTGCTGTGCTCGTCAGCCGTACATACACCACGCTGATGAGCAGCAAGACGCAAATGAAGACCAAAAGTCCCTGAAGGCAAAAAAAGAAATAAAATAAAAAAATTAAAATAAATTAAATAAATAATCAAAAATAAATTAATTAAAATAATCAAAAATAAATTAATTAAAACAAGTCTAAATAAATTAAATAAACAATTAATGGAAGTTGAATCAAAAGGGCCTTTGCTGCGCTTTGTTTGCTGCTGCTAGCTAGCAGCAAACAAGCTCAATGCAACATTCACTGCTGCTGCTGCTGCTGCTGCTGCTGCTGCTGCTGCTGCTGCTGCTTACGTTAATTGTGTTTTGCTGCCACTGCGGCAGTCGGCGGATGCAGCAGCAGCTGCGTTCCTGCGGGAAAAAGGAAAACAACATAAAATTGGAATAAAGAAAAAAAGAAATAAAGATTTAAATAAAATAATAATAATAATAAAGAAATAAAGATTTAAATGAAATAAATGATAAAAGATTGTAGAAACAAAAGAAGTTTAAAAAATCAAAAAAAGAAAGAAAGTCCAGCAGCAGCAAATAAAACTATACACGAAAGTAAACAAATCATTTCAAACGCCAGAGCAGCAGCAGCAGCAGCAGCAGCTACATTGTACAACGCCAGCAGCAGCAGCAGCAGCAGCAGCCGCAGCAGCAGCAGCAGCAGCAGCAAATGTCCGTACTGCCTGTAGCTCTAGCCGTCTGAGGATGCTGGGACTGCGAAGCCAAAAAAGAAAATAAAAACTTCTTTTAAATTCAAATTCAAACAAATAAATAAATAAATAAATAAATAAATAAATAAATTAATTAATTTAATTAATTAATTAATTAATTAATTAATTAAATTAATTAATTAATTAATTAATTAAATTAATTAATTAATTAATTAAATTAAATTAAATTAAATCACCGAAGAGGCCGCGGGGGCTGCGAGCCAGTCTCTGTGGGCAGTCGAGTTATGTTCGACCTGTAAGTCCGCGGGCTGCAGCAACACAAGACACGCAACACTTGCTGCTGCTGCTGCTGCTGCTGCTGCTGCTGCTGCTGCTGCTGTTACTGCTGCTGCTGCTGCTGCTAGCTGTTGTTGCTGCTGGTGCTGTTGTTGCTGCTGCTGCTGTTGTTGCTGCTGTTATTGTTGCTGCTGCTGTTGTTGCTGCTGCTGCAGTTGCTGCTATTGCTGCTGCTACTGCTGCTGCTATTGCTGCTGCTACTGCTGCTGCTGTTGCTGCTGCTGCTGCTCGCTGGATTCAAGAGTTTAAAGTGCAAAATCAAGGAATATAACACTAAGAGAGAAGAACTGGAGAAAATTAAGTTCCAAAAAGTTCCATAATTACATTAATCTGAACTTCTTGAAAAAAGAAAAATAAAACTGAGAAGTTTCGGTGTTTCAAAAAACGCAGACACACGCCGGGTGTACATACACTCCATGCACACCTGAGCTGTCGCTTCTTTCAAACCCCATAAAGATGAAGACGCGAGCAGCAGCAGCAGCAGCAGCAGCAGCAGCAGCAGCAGCAGCTGCTGCTGCTGCTGCTGCTGCTGCTGCTCTTAATTGGGGAGAAGGGTCACCTGGAGGCGGGAGAGTCTTGGGAAGCTGCCGAGGAAACTTGGGCGAGCGAAAGCGCCGAAGACAGCTGGGGGTCTTGAGTGGAAAGGCGATTCGAATTGAGGCCGGCGTGCGGCGGCGCCGGCGCTGCAGCTGTTTGTTGCATTTTGAAAAAGAAATAAAATAAAAAGAAATTTAAATGAAAAGAAAGCAGCAAAGTGCAGCAAAGTTTGCGGATCAGGGAGCTCTGCTTGCTGCAGCTGCAGTGTGCGAGGCTCCTCGATTCAAGAGTGGTCCGCAGACGCCGCGGGTCTGCAGATTCGCGATAAAACGATGAAAAAGAATCAAACAAACATTCATAAACGAAAACGAATTACTTTAAACGAAAATAATAAACTGAACGGCCGAAAACGCGAAGAAGAGATGCGGCGGCGGCGGGCGCTCAGGTGTACAGACACCGCGCGGGCGGGGCGCAAACGCCCGCGTCACCGCCGATGCTCTCTCCGTTTATTTCGCCGTTTTTCCCCTTAATTAAAAACAAAGGAGATTTTTAAATATAAAATTGTTTTTTATTTTTGAAAATAAATCCAGAATTGGCTTTATTCCGCGTTTTACTTCAAAGAAATGCGCTCGCTGTCGCCTGCCAGCGCTGACCGCCGCCGACGCGTCGAGATCTGCTTCTGAATTGCAAATAAATGAAGCAAATAAACGAATTATAAATGCATTTATGTTTTAAAAACAAAAAAATAAATTAAAAATAAAATTAAATTCAAAATTCAAACCAAAATTCAAATCCGGGACTTCAAAAACTATTTAAAGCCTCCTTCCCCCTCCTGTCTCGAGTGACCTTCAGAGCTGAAGCCCTCATAACCCTTTTATTCTTTTTATTTATTTATTTTTAAAACTAAAATAATAAATTTCAATTTATTTATTTCTTAAAATCTATTTTTAATTCTTTTATTTGTTTTCAAAACCAAAACAAAAGAACTGAACTGCAGACACTCAGCAAAGCCATTTCAGCTTTCTCAAAAGACTCTTTTTGCTTTTCTTCAAAACTTTTATTTTAAATAAAATAAAACAATTAACTGCAAATGAACTTCATTTATTTATTTATTTATTTATTTATTTATTTATTTATTTATTTATTTATTTATTTATTCATTCATTTATTTACTTGTTCACTTACTTAGACATTTTGGCCAAACTTCTGCAAAATGGCCTTAGACCATTTGCTGCTGCTGCTGCTGCTGCTGTTGCTGCTGCTGCTGCTCGAAGCACTTATTAGGTGCACTTCTGAAAGGTTATTTTCATTTTTTTCCAAATATAAGCCCAAACAAAAGTCTAAAATGCAATTAACAAATATTGAATCTAAATAAATATTAAATCTAAAGTGGAATTATTAAATATTTAAAAAATACTTTTAGTTCCATCTGGCTACGCCAAGACCCTAGCAGCGCCGCAGCTGTACGTACACCGCAGCGCACAAGCTGCCTTTGCTGCTGCTGCTGCTGCTTCTGTTGCTGCTGCTGCTGCTCCTGCTGCTACTGCTGCTGCTTCTGCTGCTACTGCTTCTGCTATTGCTTCTGCTGCTACTGCTTCTGCTGCTACTGCTTCTGTTTCTGCTGCTACTGCTTTGCCGCTACTGCTTTGCTGCTGTTGCTTCGCTGCTGCTGCTGCTGCTGCTGCCGCAGCTGTTGCTGCTGCTGCTGCTGCTGCCGCAGCTGTTGCTGCTGCTGCTGCACCAGAGTTTCATTTGAATTCGAATGGAATAGAGTTTCATTTAATTCGAAGGAAAAGGTTCCTGCAGGCGTTTAGCACCTCCTCTGGCCTGGAGCTGCAAACCCTAAACCCTAAACCCTAAACCCTAAACCCTAGGGCGTGGAGCCTCAAGTTCGTTTCCCTCTCGGGAGCTGCAAACCCTAAACCCTAAACCCTAGAGCTCCGCGAGGAAGCCCGCATTGCCCTTCCTAGGGTTTCGGGTTTGCGGCGGTTTGGAGCTGCGGGCGCGGGGCCCGCGAGGGTTTAGGGTTTAGGGTTTAGGGTTTAGGGTTTAGAAGACGAGGGTGGAGATCATGCTGCCGAGGGACTGCAGCAGCGTGTCCGTCATCAGCTGATCTAGGGTTTGCTGAATCCGCATTTTTGCATCTATTTGTCCAGCTCTGTCGACGAGAAGTTGTTCGGGTTTCTTTTTTATTTCTTCTTCAATCATTGAGGTGTATCGACAGCTCAGCTCCTTCAAAGACGCGATGCTTTCCTCCCGCTCCTCCTGGTGCTCTTGGAAGTTCTGCAAGCACCGGCCAGGGTTTAGGGTTTAGGGTTTGAGGCCCTGCAGCAGCAGCAGCAGCGCAGCAGCAGCAGCAGCAGCAGCAGCAGCAGCAGCAGCAGCAGCAGCAGCAGCAGCAGCAGCAGCAG